TGTGAGTGGCCATACATAAGGTCTAGATAAGAACAATTGTAAAGTAGTACAAGAGACTTCTTCCTTCCCATTATATGAGATCTTTTCATGAGGTAAGAAAGCATTTATCCTCTACAGAAAAACTGGCTCAAGTTGCTGGTTAATGCATCCAGTACAATTACCAAAAGTTGTCTTCAACAGAAAATATTCTGAAGCTGCTAGTTTACTAGGGCATGGGTTCCAGATTATTACCAAAGTTTTTCAGACTGAACTTAACCTAATGTTAGACAGGGTCAGGTTTGTCACTGTACTGACCATGACAAAAATAGACTAACTACATACTGATATTCATATACAGCTTCTCTCCGACTTACGACCTACTGTACTCGACTTACGACCACTCACACTTCTGACCTGCCTCAGTCGTACCAAAATTTTGTCAAATTATTTTGAGTCCCAACTTCAGTACATAGACAAAACTTTTCGTTTGTAATTCACTTTAAAATAGCTGGCAAGCTTAAAAGAGCGGATTTTGTGGTGCTGAGAAGAAAAAGAGACACCCGTTGTAGATTTTCTTTGTATTATTTAAGCATTTTCGACTTACGACCTGGATTTGGGACCCTAACCCCGTTGTGGATTTTTAGTCAAATGCTTTAATTAACTAATTTTTCTCAGCATTATTACAAATGGTTACCATACATCCAGTTTTTCCTGACATGTCCTCCTTTTCGGTCATATAGGATATAGGTAAGGCAGCCGTATGCCAAATATCATGCTGGATATATGTACTGTACGGCAGCCATATTGACGAGCGGTGTTGTTAATGGTTAGGTTAGGTTAGATCCGGTTAGGTTAGAAAGAAGGCAATGTTAATAGCTATCAATGTATAGTCTGTCCAGTCACGCAGGAGCATTGGGCTGCCGTACCAATAGACATCAACATTTCACATGCCGGATGAGATCATCGTTCATTTCTTGACATGTAAAGAAAGACCGCGGGTGCTTCCATATAGCAGATGATGTAAACCAAAACATGGTTGCCACAGGAGATCTGACAGCACCATAATTACAGTACTGTAGTTAAATAATATAGTTTTTTGTCTACAAACACATAGAGATGTGAAATTACTGTCATATTGTAAGTGTTCATAATGTTTTCACCCTGTTATTTCCCTCTTCTTTCATGACCTGCCCACTTATAAGTAATTTAGGTTAATATTCGTCTTTCACCAATTCCTCTTCTCATGTTTCTGAGTAAACTAAATAGTATGTTATTTTTTAATTACAAATCAACATTTATGATTAACATTTCTTGTGCAAATGCTTAGATTTTTTAATATATTTACCCTCAAAAATTAGGTATGTGCCATTGTAACGATCTTCAGGAGTGAAGTGCTTCCCCATCTGGAGTACTGTCACCCCATCTGGTCCCTGAGATATGCTAGGGACTGTCAATTGGTTGAAAATGTTCAAAGGAGGGCCACCAGACTGGTGCCTGCACTTCGGCACCTCAGCTACCCTGAGAGATTGGGCAGCCTGAACTTGCCTAGCTTATACTACAGGCGGCAGCAAGGGGGACCTAGTTGAGGTGTATAAGCATCTCAGGGGCACTACTCAGTTGAGTGTCCCTTACTTGGAGCTGGCGGACGCTCGCCCCCAGGGGTACAGTTCAAGATTGAAGAGGCCGCAAGTCCAGAAAACCGTGAGGCAAACTTTTTCGAGTGAGGTTGTAAACTCTTGGAACAAACTACCAGAGAGTGTTGTGGCACGGCACAGTGTGAGCTCTTTCAAGACAAGACTTGACCAACACTGGAGCGGGTTCAGGTACATTCAGGAGCCGGTGCATGCCCGATGCCAACAGTGCGTGACAGAGACGTGACCGATCATGGGCGACTAGCGAACCGATCTTTTGGTGAAGAATATAAACGAAAAGAGACGTGACCGATCGCCCAAGCGGCTAACAAGCCGATCAGTGGCGAAGAGGATAAAAAGTAAAAAAAGTAAAGTTCACAAGCATCCTGCTTGGTCCGAGCATACTCTCATATTCACCCCAAAATTTATTTTAAATTACACCATGATGCTACAAGAAAAAAAAGGCTCATTTCCACAAGAAATGAAGGTACAGTAATATCTGACTAAAAAAAAAAAATACAAGAAAAATAAATTTTCATATCAAAAGAAGAAATGGGCAAAAAAAAAAAAAGGTAAAAATATAGTAGTTGCCACCACCTAACTGACTTATGAAATTTGATTTAATGTGTAAATCGTGTTAAATACAATTATGACCTTCATTGACGTTGAAATGAGCAGTAGTTGAGATATTAAAAAAATTAAAAAGTTGAAGGCGAAACGTTAAACCCTCAAAAAACTAAAACACCTAACTTAACCTGATGTAACCTACTTAACCTAACTTAAACTACTTAACCTATCTAACCTAACCTAATCTATCCAAGCCTAGCCTACCTAACCTAACCTAACCCTAGTAAGAAACTTACCTTAAGTAAGAAATAAAGGAAGATAGAGTGATGCGAATTAAATGAGGAAGTGGTATCTTTGTCAGTGTTTGTCTCTTACCTACCAGTTAGATCTGTTGAGTTAGGTTAGTTTTGGTGCTTCTTGGTTGAGCAATGTGTTGCTCAACAAAAAAGCTATGGTTGACCACTTGCAAAAATTTACCTTTGTTCAGTACATACTGTAATCCCATTTAAAAAAAAAGGAAAACAAATGCACAGAAAGTCAAAGCAAGGACAAGTTCCAAGTTCATGAAGCAGCCCCCACATATTTCACTGTATGACACCTTACCTTATAGGAAACCTTGTGGTACCGCCCATATATATAAGAGCCGCCCTCTGGGCTAACTTCATTTTTGCGAGTTGAATCTCAGTGAATTACGTAAATGTGGTGTTCTGTATGTCGAAGTTGTCCCATCAGCTGATTGTGAGAGTTGCCAACAATTATGTCAACAAATGGTTGTTCTTGGTCGGCCAAGGAGAGTATAGTAGAGGAAGGGAGTGGTGGACAACCGGGCCACTAGAGGGCACTGATGAAATGGCGGAAATTGCGTCGGTTACGACCAACGACTCTACTTTTTTCCTTTTCTTTTATCCTCTTCACCACTGATCGGCTCGTTAGCCGCCCGGGCGATCGGTCACGTCTCTGTCACGCACTGTTGGCAAGTACTGGGCATGCACCGGCTCCTGAATGTACCTGAACCTGCTCCAGTGTTGGTCAAGTCTTGTCTTGAAAGAGCTCACACTCGGTGCCGTCACAACACTCTCTGGTAGATTGTTCCAAGAGTTTACAACTCTCACTCCGAAAAAGTTTGCCCTTACAGTTTTCTGGACTTGCGGCCTCTTCAATCTTGAGCTGTGACCCCTTGTGGGGCGAGCGTCTGCCAGCTCCATGTAAGGACACTCGACTGAGTAGTGCCCCTTGAGATGCTTATACACCTAAATTAGGTCACCCCTTGCCCTTAAGGATGAAGAACATCATTTTCCTTCTCAGGGACGACTGGCCACAAGGTGTCGGCATGGCGGGCCAACCAGAAGCCTCAAAGTCAACGGAAACGGCTTCCTCGTATACTTTCCTTGATGAACAACTCTACTCGATAAAAACCTATGTAATAATAATGAATATAATAGTAATAATAATAATAGTAATATTAGTATTAGTAATAATAATAATAATAATAATAATAATAGTAATAATAATAATAATAATAATAATAATAATAATAATAAGTTGTATATTATAAAACACTATCCCTTGTGGCCTTGTAAACAAAATATAAACTGGAAGATACAAGATCAAAACAAAGTGTTTTATTGTGTGTTGATTATATCACCATACACAATATTTATATATGTAAGTACAATACAATAGATAATTTCTGAACACGAGTTACTTGTCATCCCATCTAGACAGTCTTGTCCCCTAGATATTCTACCCGGTAGAAACAGTCCGTTGATTGACAACGTCCAAGAGTGCCTGCTCTACCACACCTCAGGGAGGCTACCAACAGAAATTACCTCTGCAATTGTCTGTCCTATACTATAGGCAGCCGCAGCTGACTTTTCATGTTAAATTATTATAAAAACTGCAATTTCACCGTTTTAGTTGAACAAATGTGTTAGAAAGTGGTAATTTCTAAATTAAACCTAACCTAACCTTAGTTGATAGGAAAAACAAGCAACAGTAGCATTGTTAGAAGACGTCTCCAACATAAACAAGCAAGCCTACCGGACCCCCCGGACCCCTGGTATATTAAACAGAAAGAACCTTCTATGATATGGTGTAATCTTACGTTTTTGTGGGCGTGAAAGCAGCCGTCCGTACTGAACGGTTGGTTTTTAACTTTTACTTACTTATTACTTTTATCCTCTTCCGCACTGATTGGCTCGTTAGCCGCTAGGCGACCGGTTACGTCTCTGATTACTTTTCCTTTTCTTTTATCCTCTTCACCAAATGATGACTTGTTAGCCACTTGGGCAATCGGTCATGTCCCTGTTTTGCACTGTTGGCAAGTACCGGCTCCTGAATGTGCCGAACCTCCTCCAGTGTTGGTCAAGTCTTGTCTTGAAAGAGCTCACACTCAGTGCCGTCACAACACTTTCTGGTAGATGGGAAGAGCTGATAGAACGAAAGTAGTTAAGAAGAGCTATGGTCAGGTTGCAGCAGAGTCACAGAAGGTGACGGAGAGTAAAGCAGGATCTGAACACGTCCTCCATCATCCAGGTACTCTGCAGAAGTGTGTTGAAGAGTTGACAACTAGTAAACCTTCTGATATTACAGCTGAAGGTACAGAATGCTGTCATTTGTGTGATGTCACAATTCTTTAGACTCTTACTTTTTTTAGGGAGTTGGTTTCAACAAGGAGTCAGACTAATTGTAAGGTAAGTGTGTGCCACGTACCGGGTATATATGAGTTATCAAGTTGTGGGCTCAGTCATAAGATGGGCTATGGGGATATGTCCTTCATTTAAGATTTAAAAATATAATGAATCCTTTTTGTATTCCCTCCAGATATAAGTAAGGAATGGGTAGCAGTAATAGCACCCAGAAGGGTTCAAGCTCGACACAATCACCCATTTCCAATTCTGCAGTTGGAGATGGCATCAAGTCTATCCGAACAACGAGTGTTTTCAAAGCTATCAACTTTGAGCTGTATGTTAAACCTGTAAGTTTGATTGTGTTTTATAAAAGTAATTTTGCATGTTGATTTATAGCCAAATGCCACTTGTTGAATGAATTGTGTACAATAATCTTTTCTAAGTCTCAGTTGGTACCAGGATGGGATGGAGAAAGGAAACTCACAATGTGCTCTCTGTATACATGTTGTATTGGATGTACAATGCAGCTTGGTGCTGGGGGGTAGCAGCGTGAGTCCAAGCGTGATGTAGAGAGAGCTGGTTGGTGAGGGTGCTCAGAGGACTAGCTTGTGGGTCGCCATGATCGCCGGCTCTGGGCGAGGGCCGCCAGGCAGGAGTGGAGGAAGAGGTGTTGCTTGATGTTTGGTGTAGGTAGAAAGAGGTAGGTCACCACGAGGTCAGGTCTTATATAGAGGTGGCGTGGCTTAATAGTTGACCTCCGTCATGTAAGGCGGCGCTGGTTGACCTAGGCCACGAGGCATACACTGGGAAATTCGCGGGGTACTACTCAGGGACAAGCGTTGCTAGGGGAGGAATCCACTACAGTATTCTTGCGGCTTGAGAGCCACTGGCTTGATGAAAATATATATTCCTGTAGTATTTAGGATATCCAAAATCGTGCTTAATGATTTTTGTGGAAAATATTTATCTTCATTACATTACAGCAAGGTAAGACAAAGCCACAGTTAGCAGAAACATTTAACACGAATTAATTATATTTCCGTTAACTTAAACATCTCTCTCTCTCTCAAAATCTTGGAGCTGAGACAGGATGGAAAGAGAAATGGTTGGGCCTCACAGCTCATGCCACTAGTACTGCAGTTGTGTTGTGGAGTAGCAGAGGATTAGGCATATTACAGTGCTCATTTAGAATTGCAGGGTTTATCTGAATACTTTCTTAGCTAGAGGGCTGTTCATTTAAGCAATAGCTGTGACTTTCTGTGTCATGCAGAATGAAGCTTAATAATGGATCGATTTGTTATAAAACAAAAGCGCACTAATAAAACAACTACCGGTATCTCAGGTCAAGGCAGTGGATGGAGGAGAAACGAGTGTTCAACAGAATAACGTAAGTAAGGGACATACCTCAAAGAAAAAACACGAACAATACAAGATGAATACAGAAAGTTGTAAGAAAATTGGACCCCAATTTTTCTTTTGTTGCTTCAGAGTACCAATCCACTTTGTTTAATTTGCCAAAAAGTGTCCTCTGGTTTTAACCGCAGTAATTTAGAATGCCATTTCATAACCACTCATGTGAACTTCAATAAGTTTTACCTGGCTGGAAGTGAATTCACTCATATGTGAATATCCTATTACTACCTGGAATTCAATTAATGCGAGCAAAATTCAGCCTTATGCAAGATGTCACACTCCCAGATATGGATTCCAACCCTGGTGACTCAACAGATATCCTCCCAGCACCATCACCCACTATGTAAAGCTTCTACCACCACTTCCATCATCTTGTCTACCCAAGTTGATGTATCTCTTTATTGTTAAGTACACTGTACTGGACACTTGCTTTATCTATTATTTTAAAAATAATATTCCATTAATTTGTTTGTCTTGAAAATGGGTCTGAAACATTTTCATTTTGGGTTATGGAACGCATCCTATTTTTTCCCATTTAACTAAGTATTCGATATATGTGATTTTGATTTATTCCTGGGTTTTTCAGGAACTCCTCCCTTGCATATATCGATGACCACTCTACTGTAAACCCTAATTAATATAATATGGTCTCTTGACATTGTAATTTACAACACCACATCGGACAAATATAGGACTTTTTCCACAGGCCTCTCAGCAAGAACATGGTTATTTCACGAAAAACTCGTGTTCATGCTCAAAAGCACTTAACCAGAACATCCTTGCATCATTATGTCATGTTCCATTGTGCACAGTTGGTATACCATTTTCAAAAGCTTTCCTGTACAGTATATTAAAAGGAAATGACCAGCAAGAAGAAAATTTTGTTTGGAAGCCAATGTTGTGGGAGTATTTTCACTTTGTAGGTTTTTACCCTGAGATACAAGATTCTGACATAGCTCAGATAGTAGACCAGGGGAAGAGTAGAATTACTTTTGACAAATTTGAATTTAAAGTGAAGTTAGTCCACTACTGTACTGACTGTATTGTACATAAATTTATCCCGAGTGTAATTTCATATACAAGTATGTACTGCATACTTTTTATATGTAAGCAAGCAGGCAATAAGGGGTCTGTTGGAGAGGGTGAATGCATACCCTTATTTTTACAGTGAAACAATATTTTGTAATTACTGATTTCACTACAGGTACTGCAATGATATTTCAGACTTCAAGATACAGCTGTCAGCATTTATGAGGGACAACTGTATACCATTTATTATAATCTCATGATGTATGGAAACTTCAGATAATTGAATCTTCTCTAATAGGGATGCTCATCAAAATTAATTTTTAATTAATCTTTCAGAACTTGGCTGTTATGTCATTTGGTGTGGTAGCAATTATATGCAGTGGAGCATACTTAGCATATATGAAGTCTCAACAGCGAGAATCCAAGACCTATGTTGCAATAGCGGAAGATGGCACGCAATCCCTTACCCAAAAGAAATCCAAATGGGATTGAATGTTACAATAATAGATGCAATATTTGCATGGTAATTAAATGGCATCTTATTCTACAATAAACTTAAAAGAATAAAATTAAAATATTATAAAAACAGAAAGTGGGTATTTATTTTGTACAGTTGATTCCAAGTCTAAGAAATTTCAAAACCTAAGAATGAGTGTTATTTTAAGCTATATAGCTTTGTAAAAATACAAAATAAAATTCCTTGACTGCAGATTAAAATTTTTAATGCTTACAAACTACAGGTACTTGTATATTAACTATAGCCTCACAACCTAAACTTATTTTGTAATGAATTTGTTTTATAATAAATACACAACTTAATTAAAGGGCTTTTTTTTTCTTGTAGAATTACACTTGTATAGGGAGCTTCTCAGTTCAAATTTGATATAACAGAAACTGAAGAATGGAGGTGTACATATCTACTATATCATGAATATTACCATTGCTTATTAATTTATTAAAGGTGGAGTCAAATGAATTTTAAAATTGCCTGGGCTTGATTAATACAGTACAGTATTTCCTGAAAGCTCGTGTCCCTCAGAAACTCATGGATTGCCATGGAAAATACACCAAATAAAATAAATCTGAGGCTGTGTGCCAGGGATCAAGAGGAGTCAACACTACTAGACAGTACAGAGCACCATATTTCTCAGGTCATAAGATTCACCATATAATTACAGTAGCAAGGTATATTATGTAAAAGTAATTTTTGCAGATTTAATAGCCTACTGTACTGGTAAAGCCAAGTCTGGCTATATGCTATCATGTTTCTCACTACCACAGCTAACTATCACTGTGGACCTAATGTCCATACAGTGTTATTTCATGTTTATGTTTATTTATTTATGCTATTTCATATTTATTATATTGTCTTGTGCATACATAATGTTGTTATACATGTGCATATAGCAATTTATATACAGTATGTATTTTGCACACTTCTGGGATTGGCATGAAAAAATAGCAGATTTTGCTTTCTCACGGGGGCCATTTTACCTAACCCCAGCGAGCTTTAAGGCAATACTGTACTTTACTTTGATGTGTGTTTATATGTTTTTGTTTCCTCTTGCATACATTCCTTTCAGCAGCCAGTAAATTTTATAATCCCTTGGCAGGATGCTAATTGACTGAAGTATTGTTCCATCTTAAACAGGTGCAACTGTCAGTTTACTAGTGTACAAAAGATAGTGTAGGACAGAGCATGTGCCACTTTGTTCAGGAATAGAACCTGTGATCATTCCTGTCTTGATGAATATTCTACTACTGAGCTATGGATTTCCTGTATGTATGTACAGTAAAGTACCACAGATTTGCAGATATGAAGTACAGGTATGTGGGGATCACAAGTCTAAGTCTAAAAACAGGCAACAGTTAGCTAATTTCTCAAGTTCACAAGCCTTCAGTTGCAACCTCATAATCAGAATCACATGATAAGGTTGACTTAGATGGTAGAAAATTAGTACCAGTATACCATGGATTTTAACCTTTAACCACTTGTGTATAGGGTTCCCTCTGAGCTGAATAAAATTGTCTGGCATTAGCCAAATAAAATAGTCTGATATTAGCCAAATAAAATATTAAAGTGGTGTCACCATATGAAGGGTTAGGGAAATAAGTCTACTAACCAACCACTTGTGTATGGGGTCCCTTCAGCTGAATAAAAACGTCTGGAATAAGCCAAATAAAATATTAAAAGTGGAGTCACTGTAGTAAAGGGGTTAGATTACTCATTGAAGAAGACTGGCACATACATTTTAGGTGTTTTGTATGTATTTTAAGTACCCCTTCAATAAGGTCGAGAGGGGTTCTGATTGGTGAGAGGGTGTGTGTACAGTATGTGAATGTGTGCAAGAATGAAGTGGTGTCTTCAGTGTGTAAGAGCATCTTCAAGGAGTGAGAGGGTTGTCTACCAAGTTGTGAGAGGGTTTCTTCAAGATTTGAGGGGGTTTAAAGGAGTAAGGGGGTGTTGTACAGCTTCCACCAAAATGTCACTGAATTAGGGATGTCAGAAATAAGTATGCAAGCTGTCCAGTTTTCATTAAGATATCACTGGATCAGTAAGACACATCATTCTGGAATTAATGAGTAGTTTTCCATTTTAAGTATGGAATGCAAAATGCACAAAACAAACTTAAACACTTTCCTTAATGCAAAACAAACAAGCTTAACCCTTATACCCCAGGCAACCTAAGACCCGCCGGTCTCCCACACAGGCATATTTTGTCAATTTTTATTTTATTTAGTTTTTAAGCCACAGTCAAAAACTGGTATTTCAAGCATTGTATTAGTGCAGTCACTCCAAGCATACTGTTGTGGCTGGCATGCACATGGTCCCCTATGTCCATGGCCTCCACGACCTTGCTTAGGGGGTGGCTGGCAGGGTGTCACCAAATACTATCAGTGCCGCTCAAATCAAGCAACTCTTGATGAATAGCACTACTGTCGAGGGTGTGGAGGAACGAGGCTGGTCATGAGATGTTGAAAGAGGTGCATCCATCATGATAGCTAGGGGTAACTGGACCACTAGACTTGAGACAAAGATTACATGCGAGTTGAGTTGCCAAATAAATAAATATCCTATACTAAGTACAGTAAACCCTTGAAAACTCGGCACCTGTGGGGCTCTGGCCTTGCCGAGTTATCGAGGCACTTTCCCCTCTCCTACAAAAATACAATAAAAAATTATCGACCCATACACAGTACTGATGTGTACACTCACGTGCCATAGTTTCGATGCACCCTCTACCCCTACTCCTGACTCAATGGAAGTCGTAGCCTTGGCTTCATACCGAACGCTCCCCCATTGTTCAGTGGTGCAATGTGGTAGCTCAAAGCTTCACTGGATTTTACTTAATAGCGGTTCATGATGTAATATTTGAGAGAATATATGCACGATGTAGGTTTTTTAGTGACTTCACAACACTTTATTTACCATCACTATACATGAGGGATCGTTCGGTTTGCAGCTCTGACTACGAGCCAGGAGTAGGGGTAGAGGGTGCATCGAAACTATGGCACATGAGCTACATGTAATTACTAAATGTAAAAAAGTAACTTACTAGCACTGCAGGCGAAGAATGAAGCAGATGCATGGTAGGCGACACAGAGGTATGGTAGGTAACAGACATGGTAGGTGACGCAGGTGGCCAGATATGACCAGATTTTCCCAGATAATTTTATTTAGCTCGGCATTTCCCGAGTTATACTTTAGTACATTCCGAGACCATATCCGTGCCGGTATCGAGGTTATACTGTACTTCGTCCCGCCTTGACATTCAAAATATGCTGCAAAAATTAAGGACATAGAGAAATGTCACACAGGGTCGCTATGATGGACGTAGAGGAACATCACCCAGGTTTTAAGGGTAGTGCAAGACTCTGAAGAGATGAAACTAGTTGGATAGTAGAATGAGTGAGAGAGGAGTCGGTGACCTCTGTGACAAGCAACCTTTTGGGGGGTAAGGGGGGGGTGCGCAGTCATTTTCTCTCCCAAGGGTCGATTCCCTTCATACTACACTCCAGTACCTCCTATTTGTGATAGAAAGGTGAATTTTATACCATAATGATCCTGAATAAATTATCTACCAGATTTTTCCCATAAAAGATCCTTAAACAAAATATACATAATGATGGGGACTATTCTTTTATGAAAAAATAAAAAAAATGTTGATACCAGAGTATAAAATCAGTTCTAATTAAGTTAGAAACCCCATCTTTTACTAAAATAATCCTGAATAACTTACCTGAAACTTTGGTTTAATAAATATATTTATAAAGCTTAATATCTATGATACAGGCATGCGAGGTGCCTCGTGAATGCAGCTGTATGTGTCACAATGGAATTCACCACCGTTTTCCCCGAGTCTAAGAGACGCATCTCGCACAGACACACAAGAGCTGTAATTATTTACGCAAACACCACTGTACACGTACAATAGTGATATCCCCATTAGCCGGAACAATTGGTGCAGAGCATTTCCGGCTAACCAGACGACTTTCTCAAACCCAGAAAAATTCCTTATCCCCTGAATCTTTTCCGGTCACTGGAAAAAGTTTCCGAGTGTCTAACTAGACATCTTGCACAGATGGACACTAGTCCACTTCCCCAGAACATTTCTGGGTGCTGAGAATGTTTTCATCGAGTCTAAACTACTGGAGTCCATAAATGCAGGTCTAATTAAGTTAGAAACTCAATTTCTTTACTATAATAATCCAGAATAATTTATCTAAAATTTTGGTTAAATAAATATATTTAAAAATAAAAAATCTATACGATATGGGCATGAATGACGCCGTGAGTTAGTACAGCAAAGACTGGTATTTTCCACTCCCATGGAGCTGTGGGGGATTAGTGGGTCTCTGTAACGGACCTGATGCAATGTCAGGTGGAGGTAGGGTGGGGGATTAGTGGTCTCAAATTACTGACCTGATGGAATGTCAGGTCCCCCTTTCTTGGTGGGGGATTAGTGGGTCTCATGACCTGAAGATGTCTTGAATAAATAGAAAACCTTAAAGTATTTTTAGGGAGATTGTTATACTGTAAGTATAAATGTACAAATTTGTATCCCTTCAAAATTACGTTACATTTAACATTTTAAAATATGGAGCGGAAATGAGTGTTGCCAAGTGCTCCTCAACATTTAATATTGAACTCACTACCATGCAGTCACACACACGCAAATTTATCATACAATAAGACCCGCACTCCTCATGCTTGCTGTCTTAATTCCCTTGTTGGGGGTGTGTGAGTGGTGTTGGAATGTGTGCGGGTGTGTGAGGGGGTGTGATGTTCGGGTGTGTGAATGGTTGTTGGAGGGTGTGTTTGTGTGTGGGTGGATGTTGGAGAGTGTATGATGTTGGGGGGTGTGTGTGTGTGTGATATGTGTGGGTTGTGATGGTGTGGGTGATGTGGGGTGAGGGTGGTGTTGGAGTGTGTGTGTGGGTGATGTAGGGGTGTGTGGGTGTGGACAGGCTACTAAAGCAAAACCCAACAAACTGGGCTATCTGCAGTTCATTGCAACTCTCCCTCTCCCAAGTCATTGCAACACTTGCACCACTGCATCAGTGGTTGCAGCCTGTGCTCCTGCCTCACCACATAAATCAACTTATGCACAGCTATCATCCAGCTCATCAAACCTCTCATAATCATCAAAACACCTATACCCACAAAAGCCCTATGGTGACGGACAAGTGGAGTCGGGGACAGGCAGATATGACTGCTGGGAGTCTCTAGTCACAACTCTGTATGTGGGTGGCACAGATAAGATGGTTGTTTATGCACTGGGATCTAGGCAGCAGTGCAATCTGGTCTTGTCTGTGTGACTGAGCAGCCCTTTCGAGGAGCCACTCTGTTCACCCCACAATGGGAGGGGGCTAGAAAAGGTGTCCTAAACATAGCTTGCCTATAAAAAAAAAAAGGGGCAACCGCACCCAGTAAGGTCATCCTTATGCGGTCAAAAACACAATAATAGCCACAGATCCAAACAAAAATAAACTATACAACCTCTTATGATCACTGCATGGAATGTCAGGACCCTTCTGGATACTGGCACAAATGAGCGTCCTGGAAGAACCGCTTTTTTGGCAAAAGACCTGGCTAGGTATAACATCGACATAGCAGCCATTAGTAAGCCCCAGCTCTCAGACAAGGGTCAACTCACAGAACCGGGGTCTGGCTCTACCTTCTTCTGGAAGTGTAAGCCTGCTGAGGAGAGAAACCACATTTATGGGGTTGGTTTTCTCATCCGCCAATGCATCCTACACAGGCTAACTGAAATGCCTATTGGGATCAATGAATTCCTCATGACGCCCCGAGTCCCACAGAATTACTCATGTCATGCCTTTTTCTTCAGTGCATATGCCCCAACACTGTCATGACAAAGACCAGGCAGGAACAAAGATGTCGGCAGCTTCCGTTACTGAACTTCAGTATGCAGACGACCTTTCCCTTGTCGCTCATACTAAACATGACCTACAGGAGATCCTGAACACCTACGCAGATGTGTATGCACACTTCAGCCTTGAGGTGAATGTACGTAAGACTCGGATTTTCTTTCAGCCTGCCCCTGGTTCAGACACACCTCCACCATCCTTCCAGCTTAACAGTTCTACCCTCTCTAATGTTACCCACTTTCAGTATCTCGGCTCCCACCTCTCCACCACCACGGACATCGATGAAGAGATTCAACATCTGATTAGGTGTGCACCTCAAGCCTTTGGCAGACTCCAAAACCTTCTCTTCAGCTGTAGGGAGCTCAAATTATCTACAAAGTTACAGGTATATCGAGCAGTGATCCTCCCCACCCTGCTATATGGCAGCGAGACATGGGTCACATACAGGAGGCACCTCAAGGCACTTGAAAACTATCACCAACGTAGTCTACGTTTAATCCTCCAAGTTTGCTGGGAAGACAAGAGAACAAATGCCAGTATTCTTGCTGACACCAACTGTAGGAACATCGAGGCTACCATTATCCATGAAGAACTATGCTGGACTGGCCATGTTACCTGCATGGATGACAGTAGACTGCCAAAGCAGCTACTTTACAGTCACCTAACGAATAGTAAACGTAACGTTGGCGGGCAACTGAAAAGGTATAAGGTTAGTCTTAAGACAAACCCGAAAAAGTGCTAAATCGACACCCTCACCTGGGAGACAATTACTTCACACTGTAACGCTTGGAGGAGCAGCACACAAGGTGTCATTACTTTTGACTTAGCCAGACTGCATACCGAGGCAGACAAGCGCCAATGCCGGAAAGACGCTGCTGCCACCCCTCCCGCACTAGATGTAGCCCCATACATGCAATATATGTTAACGAAGCTATACTCGATAATGAGGAGAATGTACAGTATTTATATAAAATAAATATATAAATATCGAGCCACATAAAATAACTAAATTTAATTTTAGAAGTATTCAGTATTGCATTTTTAATAAATTATTTAAGTGTATTTTTTTATTATTATTTGATGTTGCTATTCATAAATACATCTGATATGTTTGTTTACATTGAGTGGTCTGTTCATGGCCTCTATATTTATTCCTCTGTGGACACACTTGTCCGAAGAGTTTATGACAGAGAATATAAGCAATCATCATTGCCTATGGGATTCTAGAGATGATACATACAGCAAAAAAAAAAAAAATTGAAGAGGAAGGCATACAACTCCATAATGACTGAAGGATTGGCGAGCTAGTCCACCAGCATGTGACAGGACGCACTCAGAAATATGACAATCTTGAGAAAATTGATGCACGAAAATTATGGAAAAAGTGCTAGTGGGATGCTGCCTTTAAGAAAGATTAGATGGATATTGTAATATTGATTCACCCAATTGTTTGCCCCATTCCTTATACACTATGACTCAATTAAAACATAGGCAGTTCTATACAGACACAGCCATTGCAGTTTTTGTTTGTTTGTTCAGTAATCAGTTAAGCTTGGGGTTTCCAAGAAGAGATGATCATAACCAGGACCATGACTTCTTCATTAAATGTTTAAAAAATATTTGTATCATATATATGTACAACAAAGGACACAAAGGAAAGTGAGCCTCTCATTTAAATTATAAATGATATTTACTGCATTTTTGGCTTAAATGTAGTCAGGAGCAAAATAATACAAATATTAGATTATGAAATCCTTGCAAGAATATTAATTAATGTTTCACAACATGAAATCTTGGGTTTTGGATAATACTTTGATGGTGCCCATTTTCTGTACTGTACAGTATGAATACGTCAAGTGCCTTCTGAAGGTTTATCCAATACCAAAAATTTTCTCAATTTTTACAGACACAAATACATTTTGAGTTGGTATATCACTTTCCTCAAGGCTAAACAAAGAAATGCTAACAATATACAAGTATTTAAAATGAAAAATATACAAAGCACAGATACAGAAAATAATACACAATAGAGGATGCAAACATGTGATAGAACTTTTACTTGGAGAGAACAAAAAAAAAGAGAGACATAAGGACAGGCTTTGTTTGCCAATCAAACTCTGTATCATACTGGATGTCACATTATGTGGACAATGGATGTTACATCCAACTATTTGAAGATGCACCTGAGATTTGTCAAATACTCATGGGATTCAATCACAATATAGCCCATGGTTCTCTCTATATACAGATACTACACAGAAATTATACTTTAACCTTCCAGCCATGATTTCTTTGTCTTTTTAAATTTCAAAACATTGTATATGTTTGGTATATCCTGTTTACAAATCCATTAAAATTTGTTGCAGTAAAGATTCACTTTCCCCAATTAGGAGACCGAAGTCGAGCCAGACCTGGCGTGCTCTGCCATCAGGCTGTATGAAAGGTTGGTTCCTAATCATCTTACAGCCCCAAACTAAGGTAACATCAATTATCTAGGAAGCTGTCTTCTTGCTGAAACAGACAGCATTTGAAGATGTTAACTTCTTCCCATTCAGCATGATATATATTAATGAATGTATTAACCAAATTATATAAAATAACATGTACAGTACAGTATATTGCATATTAATTGCATATTAATATTTAATACAACTGTCTGAAAGATTATATTTGTGTGTGTGTGTTTGCAAATACTGTACTGTACATACATGCGTACACCAACAAAAAAATTATTTGGCACCCGTGTCATATTGTATCACGCCGTAAGGGTGCCGAATAATTTTTCAGTGGGTGTACATGATACTTGTACACACACACACACATGTATACATGCACAATACATACATGTACACCCACTAAAAATTATTCAGCACCCTTACAGCGTGATACCAGATGACACGGGTGCCAAATAATTTTTTAGTGGGTGTACATGTTGATGTCTGAGTGTGTAAAATACTTGTGCATGCATCCGATCATACTGTTTCATATAAGCACATTTACAAGCATATATTGTATAGACACAACTACATTATGTTTTTTAGGATAATAGTCTTTAGTTTTCATAAACAATATTACTCAAAGCTAGAAGATTAAGGTTCAACAGCCTTCTGTGCTAAAATTATTCTCAAGTGCACCTTCTCAGTTTGAGTAAGAATCTCTTGAACTGCACATAAGAACAAAATGGCCTTACTGCAATGTGAGAAAGAGAATAAAATAACTTTATTTTTAAATGATGCATAAATTAGTTGGTCTGAAAAGACTGGAAATATTATAAAGAAAAAATATGGGATTGAGCATTGTGAAGGTTCAGATACATATACCTTTTACAAGCTGATCTGCATCATTAATAGGAATTTACACAGAGCAAATTACAAGGTTTCCCCAATTGCCTAAGACTGCACAAGATGACAGTAGTGCCTACCCATATCCATCCCCATCAACAGGTGCAAAACTCCTTGAACAATAGATACACAAACATTAATGGTTCAATTGCACCTTAATTACAACCTAAGTTCACTATTTTCACTGAAACCTCCAAAACTCAAAAGTAATCCAAGAGTTCCAACAAAGTGTGGTTTGTTTCTGTTTCTGATGTAAACAACTACAGTAGTCTGAATTTAAATCTCATTAGGAACAGCACCAGTAGTGACTTGCATATCCCTGATCAGTCTACTACTTTCACACACGAGTTAAAAAAAAAGCATATACAGTACAGTACTCACACTTACTAAAGAACTGAGATCAACTTGTGTATCCATAAAAATTTCTACTTTAGTGATGGGGATAAAATTGGCATTCATCACAGGGTAGAGAAATAGCTGATATTATTACCACAAGTTAGCATTAAACACTGGAGTATTGAGAAGGGTTGTGCACTCGAGAAAACTTAGAAGTACAAGGGATAAAATGCAGTCAACACGAGGGAAGGCGTATATTGGCATCAGCAAATCACAAGAACCGAAGATCACTCCCCTACTGTGCTGACAGAACACCGTAATATCACTGTCACAGATCCAATTTCATATAATTTTACTGTTGTCAGATGATGCAAAATACTCGTTCAAGAATAGAGAATCACATTTGCCCAATCAACTTGACTGATGTACATTCTATCAAAAGCAGACCCACCATTCATAAAATATAATTCTTTATCATTACCACAATCCTGTCTATCACTACCTGATAGTGCAGTATTCTACGTCTGTACTACACTTTAAATGCATGATGGTTCCACACATACTAATAAGATACTTGTTATGACCTGACTATATTTCTGGTGCTTCTGGATTATAAACCAAATATTACCAATGATATTTTTCAAAATATATTTTTACATGTATACCTTAAGTGTCTATGATGTTTATTATTCTTATTGAGGAAAAATCTAGAGAGCCGATCTCTAGGAAATTCAACTATGGACATAACTGTAATATACTGTAGCATATTTTCAGAAAATTACAAAACTACCAAAAAATATAACACCCTGAGGCTCAGCAATAATTATACCACTATGTTTCTGACAAATTTCCAAAACAATGAACACACAATGTATGGTTGCACAAACGTTCTCTTATTTTATGAGGTGTCAAACTACCTAATCCTATAGAATGTACAACTACCCAGCAGCCATTTTTCATAATCAATGATTTCTGCTTTAATTCTTAAATGAGCTTCCCACTAGAATTTAAATTTCCTCATGACAGAATCATCTGGTGCATCCACATTGCAAAAAAAAAAAAGTTTTGCACCAATCATAAGTTTCATTCATAGATCACTACAGATTAATGATAAAGGCCAATTTTCACACATTTATATGATGACTGGTTTCCAACTCACTAGATGAACCACAAGTGGGTGTGACATCTACTGAGGTGGGTTACTAATGCAGATGCTGCCATTATATATATATATATATATATATATATATATATATATATATATATATATATATATATATATATATATATATATATATATATATATATATATATATATATATATATATATATATATATATATATATATATATATATATATATATGACCCCCATTGCTGAATTTGGTTTAATTTACAATATTTCACTCTGTTAATGAAAGCATTAACCTTACCTGAATTAACTTGATTCTGCTTAAGCAAACCAAACACATATGTATGATGGACCAAAAGTCTTATTGGAGTTGGTTAGGTTAGCATTGGTTAGATCTTGCCGTTTTATAATATTTAATGTCAGCAATTTAACTAGAGAACTGAGCAATGCATAGAGTATTCTGAATTAATCTTACAGTATTTGGTAATACTGCCTGTGTGTGTTTGTGCAATAATGAATCACTCCAAATGAAAGCTTTAGCAGTTCTTCATTTTATCATCTACTACTCTAGCCCATTCATATTTATAACTATCTCTACAAGTAGCCACATTATATAGAACTAGTTCATTGTGTGGGGGCAGTGTTGTTCAATGCAAATATAAACCCTTGGAAAAAATGGAAAATGGTTATCTTAATACTGTAATAGGAAAATTATAGAAATATTTTTTGATACATTATCTTATCAAGGCATTTACAATGAAGAGAAAGATGGGAGGGATGCAGCACAGTAGTAACTCACTGGTGAATGTCCAGGTCAAATGTACAACTTGCAAATACATTAAGTCTTCAGTACTGAGTATGTGCAGAGAGTAGAATATTATAAAATATCCAATAAATTCTTAATTAAAATATTTCAAGAGAACAGTTCAATAAGATTACTGAAATTATACCATTGTGATTTACTTTCAGGCAGTGTGTGTCAAGTCACCTGCAATAATATAACGAAATATGAAAATCTGAATTTTGACCTGCAGAAATCTTACTACCCAGATGACTCCATGTAAATAATCGGCAGTAAACTCTAATTTTTTGTGTGCCAAAACGGCATTAAAAAATCACTGCAAGCATTTTGACCCATTTAGTCATGAGCAACACTTTCCAACTTCTCACTTTCCTGCAAGTGTTGCTGTTTCTCATTGGTCAGTCTTAACTTTTTTCTATGCATTTTCTCCTTTCTTTTGTATATATTACTTATCTCCTCTAATGAGGCCACTCTTATTCTTTTCCTATATATAATTACTTCTCATAAAATAAACAGCTGGCAACTGTTCCACAAAACTGATATCTAAGACAACATGCAAAATTCTTTGGCAAAAGTTTTAAGCGTTGGAGGAGAATCTTCAACATGAGTGTGTGAAGATGAAGGGTGATGATACCGAAGTATTCAGTGAAGATTCTCTATATTATCATCCATCATTTTATGTTTGTTACAACATAAAAAAAATAAAATAAAAAGATATACACAGAATAGACCCTTTGGTAATGACACAGTATGATAATTTTTCTTTCCACCACGATAAGGAGTTAAATGGAGGTTTGATCCTGTAATTATTTTTTCTGGTAAAGCCCAAAGCCTGGTGGCTTTTGTAAAATGTGGCAGCCAACTAAGGGATTCTATGCTCTTAGTCAAGCCTCCCATACTTCTAGCATAACTAACCTGTTAATCCATTTCAATATTCCAATCACACTTTCATTCCTGTCCCACCGCTGGCTCCAAATCAGGGGGTACTTTGGGCTGCAGGCTGGAGGTCTCGTTAATACAGTGTCAGCACAATCAACACACAACATGCAGAGGCTACTGTCAGCCATCTTTGATTTTAGATCACTTTGCTAATTTCTATTCAGTTCCAGCTGTTTAGTCATGGACCCAATGTAGGAGGGAGGGTTTCAGAGCTGCCTAACCACAGGCTCTGTTGGATAAATCCTCCATTTCTGGCTAGTGCTCTAAACCAGACAGCTTTCATTAATCCCTTCACTATAGGGACACCACTTTTAATATTTTATTTGGCTAATGCCAGACGATTTTATTCAGCTCAGAAGGGAGCTCATACACAAGGGGGGTAACATAAACCAGACAAAAAGAGAGGTGGTGCTACAAGAGCTCCAGGAAAGACATACACTGCCAGTGAGAGTCGACCCATTGTCATCATAATGTGGGAGGTTAATACTCCTCGGCTTTCTTACTGTACAAACCCAACGTTATTCTGGACAACAGATGGCTTTGTTCTCTCAGAGATGTTTGGTTGAAATCATATAAGATAACTGAACTATACACACATTGTGGAGGTTGAAAAGCTATTTAACAGTTACTAATTATAAATTTAACGTGAGTGAGTTCCGTTTCACTACCAAAATCCCTCAATGGATAACCAACATTGAATTTAAACTTAACCTGCACCTCTTTAAAGAATATGGAGACAAAGCAACCTTAAAAATACCAGCACGAATCATACTGAGGATTAGATCATAAGGTCATTTCTCTATCCAATTTGTGGGACAAGACAGGTAAATGAATAGGAGGCGTCAGAATAAGTTTAAGTTTGGGTGGAAACCAATTCATACTAGGCCTAATTGGGTACTAGAGGCCTGTCAGCCCATTAGAGGTACTGTAGTGTGAATATAGCACACTGTGCAGTAATAGGCAATGTGGACAGCAATACCTTTCACACCTTCATTTCCCCTACTGTAAAGTTAGGAATCCATTGTGCCAAATAAAATCATCTGGCATTAGCCAAATAATTTATCAAATAGTCCAATAGTGAAGAAATTAGGAGGAAGACCTTAGTATCTCATTGTAAACCTAGCTACTTAAAATTCTGATTCAGTGCCAACCTACCCTATTTTTTATTTATTATGAAACCAGTTCATCCCTTGTGGTGGTGAACTCAGAATCAACCAATCATTCAGACAGATGATGCAGAATACTCCCTTTTATGGATTAAATCCAAAAGGACTCGAAAAATTTTGTTAAGACCCTTGGGAGCTATTTTCAATCTGTTAGGATGATCCCTTGTAAGTTAGAAACTTCCTAAAGCTCCTGTGAACAGGGGCAGATCAATTATCATCCTTCAAAATAATGAAGGCGAACCACATTCCCACCCTGAGGTTCAACCTCACTTCCTTAAGGAGTCATCAAAAATTTTTGATTAGAAACAGACACATTCATTTGTTTTAGGTCCAGAACTACTCCATGGCCCCTATATACCTCAACATCATCATCCTAATCACCATTTTAAAGCCAATTTACATACTTGCATGGGACAAATTTACTACCTATATCCTAATACCTGGACATATTGAAAACCCACTACCTAACTACAAACTACCCAAGGATTTAAATTTCCATTGAACTGGAATCCCAAAAAGGGGCTGTCCACATCATCTGCTTAAGATCCTTCATAAATGTGCCTGAAAAGCAAGAATTTCATTAACTGCCAAAAGGAGCAAACTGAAATCCCAAACTATCTTCATGTGGCAGTGTTTCCTCCTGCTTACTCTCCAAAATTGGAATAAACACTAGAGACCAGTCTAATTTTTTCCTGCATAAAAGTTAAGGAAAATCCCCAAAAGCCTAAAGCCATTTGAGATCAGCAAAAAGAATTGGACACACAGTCTGTCTGCAATAAAGTGTTCATTCACAAATATCTAGTAATATCCCAGAATTTTAAAGTTTAAAAAAACTTCACTTATCACTACAGTGTATTACAATATATCAAATAAATAAAAGTTATACTGTATTCCCAAAAATAAAAAGTGAAAAGTTGCCCAGTTTAAGGAAACAGGTATGTAATTCTGATTTCTTATGATTAATTCTTAAAAATAAAATTGTATGGTATTAAACTCCTTGGAATTAAACCATATAAGGGAATTACTTCAAAACGTTCACCACCTCATGGCTATCCTGGTCTCATATGTAAGATCATCTGCTTGGGGAGAGTTCCTACCCATATACATAAAAAACCACAAAATATGAGAAGTGGTCAGCTTTTGGCACACTAACCTCGACCCAGCAAGGTTGGTAACACATCAACAAATCCTATGAACCGATGCATGTAAGAGCTTATATATGTTATACTCTATGTAACAACATCTAGAGCTGTGGAAAGGGGCTGACACTCAACTTTTGTAGAATATAAGCAGAGTCAAGTACAGCTGGTCTTTTGCAACAGTCCTCTTGGACACTGAATGTAACTGAATTGAAAAGAGCAAAGTGGCCTAGAATCGAAGATGATGGACAGTAGTATTTTGGTGCAACTGTAGAACCAAGTTCCTACCATTTAAGCCCATATTGTGATAGGTAGGGAAGGGGTAGTCATACTGTAACATCCAAATGGCTTAACAGGTTTACCCTGGTTGGTATTATGGGGGGTTGTTTAAGGACACTCCCCTAATAAGTTACTCCATTAACAGAGCCATTTGGCTTTAGGTCAATACCCAGAAAATATTACTACAATGAGAACACCACACCTTGACCATTAGGGAAAAATTTAAGCAACATTTTCAAGAGGCACAAGATTTTGATATACTGTATTCATGTCTATGCAACCTTATTTTTCAAGCTAGCATTTTTCAAAAGCTTCACAATACTGTACATTAAAACAGACTTCAATGTTATGGCTAGATCTTTTTTTATAAAAATTCAAACAATAAATTTTGTGATTAAGTAAATCATGAGAAAAAATATTACTACCATATTATATTGAATATTCTTATGAGTGAAAATCTGATTCTTAATTATTTTCATAACATGTTTACTTCAGGTTCAAGAATGATATCTTCATCAAAATCTAAAGAACTCAAGACAATATCAGCTTTGGTAAACACACTTCAACATAATATGAATTTGACTATCCTCAAGTTTCACACAAGCAAGATTCACATACCAAGGTCATTTTTTTTCTTTATACAAAATTAAGGTCATTAATGTCTATGGAAGCAATAATGGGACAGAATCTAGCTAGTTCTCTAAAGCAGGTAATTAACAAATCTTCTATTTTATATTACAACATAAGCTTGCAACATGTCACTCTGCAATACTAATCTGGCTAAACAATCCACACTTTGAAGGAACAAACTAGGAACAAACACTATTTACCTTAGGTGCTTTGAGCTATGGGGCATCTCTAAACTGTGCACAGTGGGACTACAAAACATGCGGCATTTCTGAAGACTAAATAATTTCCTTTTTCATTATGACCTTGAGAAAAACAAAAAAATGTAAACTTAAATTACAAAAGGAAGTATTATTATATCAGAGGAAAATTTGTCCTCTTACTGAGCATACTTAGAAAGCTTGCCCCAAGACCTCTGAAGCCAAGATAGCCTCCATGTGACACATACTAAATGAGGAAGAATCATTAAAAAACTCTATATCATCAAACACATCGAAACTATCAGAAAAGTAAAACTCTTTACCTTTTTTTAAATTATTTATAATTAAACAAATTCTATGAATTATAGAATGTGTTAACAACAACAAACATTTGGTTGAAAATCATTGTTACTCAGCATCCAGGTGTATAATGATAGAAATCTCACAACCACTACTTCCTCTGCTTGGCCTTCTCTTACACTCCACTCTAACTTACGTTACCCAGTCAACTCATTATTTGGCCGGCTTATCATGTACATATAACTTCATACATTCCATATATTCATTAGAATTCTACCAGTATAAAAATTGTGCTTACCAGTTATCATAAAACCAAAGTCTACAGCTTCATTTTCTGGTATCATATTCCTAACAATTGGACCACCTTTACCTGAATTTAAGGCCCCCAGAGTGCAACAGGATTTATTGGAAAAGATGAAAAAAGTATGCTAAAGAAGAGATTTTTTCAGTTCACTGATCATTGTGCCATAAGGTATCTTAGATTCAGCTAAAGATGGTAAGGTGCGTAGGTGGGGTATAAACACTTTGCAAAATTCATCAATTTTTGTGCTAGGATTGTTACAGTTGAGAATAACCATGGTAAAGTTCAAAGCCATGCAAGGCTAAGTTGATTTACTCCTCAAGCTACTGCATATTTCAATACTTTAGTGATCATATACTTTAGTTCAACACAGTCAGTTTACAAAAATCAGCAATAAAATATGAGCTTGTGGCAAGAATAAGACACATGCAATTTTCTTAAAGAATGACTCTCTACAAAACTGCAGTGGATGAAAGGTATGAAATGGCACCAATAATAAAACATAAAACATGGCTGGCTATTTCATTACAGCAGGTGGATCACCTCAAAATATAATGTTGGCCTAACTAATGACTGGGATGAAAGCCACAGAAATAAGTACGGTACTGTAACTGTATTACTAGTGGCAAGCCAACCATCACCTCCCTCAGTCTTTTGCCATATAAGCCAAGGCCAACCTAGCCATACCAGCTTATTTTCAGTTTTGAACAAGGTCTCATTCACAGTCTCTGTCTAGATACAGTCTGGGAAAACCTGACCAAAACTAGGTGGGGCACCCTTTAAGAATAAGGGATACACAAGAGTAGGTATCTCTTGAGAAGGAAAGGTACCAGGGAGGGGAGGTATTTCAGCAACCACCTAAGTATGGTACGGCGCAACATATGTAGCAGGGAAGAGTCCCCTACGGTTACCCATTTCACCAGTCCACCAATGTTGGTCTGATCGATCTGTTACAGTGATAACATCGCCACGCTTAAATTCCAGCTCTCCATGTTCTTGTGGAGTGAAGTCATACAGAGCTTGCACTAGGTACTGAAAAGATAAAACCACATTATAACTGATATCTCAGTACACTTTCTCATACAGTCACTACTACTGTACACCCTTGTTAATATAGGAGCAGCTCAGGACCATAACCTGCTAAGAGCCATATATCGCTGAAATGTGTTATGTGTTGAATTGTATTCTCCAACCTCTCCTCGGTTCCCTGGGAAAGCCAGAGAACCAATTGGAAACATGTACATGAGGGTGAGAGTCCTCTGAAAAGACTATTGTATGTCACACATTCCTATCAGAGCATTTCCCTCCATTTTCTATTTTGGCACTTAGCAGATTATGGTCCTGAGCTCCTCATATGATTTATTATACACATTGCATCAACATAAAAGAATATTGGGCATTATCTTTATACAGATTTCTCCACATCAACACAAGTTTTCAAACCAAAAACTCACCTAGTGATCCCATGGTGAGGGTTATCTCAATATTTACAACCAACTCTATACTTCCTGGATAATAACTGGTATAGAACTTGGACTTTGTAACTGTTCTCATCTTAAACTGCCTATATTTGTCCAGTAATCTCAGCACATTTGGTTTATGGCGATTTGTTTATAGGATGCAAGAGTTTGCTATTATTTTTAAAAATAGAGTATTGTACATTAGTTAAAAGTCAAGTCAAGCTGAAAATAAATTACGCAAGGGAAGGGTTAACACATCTTTATGCAATTTCACCGTAATTCTCATATTATTTGGGCTCATTTGGGGCCGGGTTGATAAACTGTAAAATCCTCACCTTTCTCAAAAAAAAAAAAAAAAGAATCCCACATTCAATACCATGAGTTACTTGTTTACAAAGGACTAACAGCTGATCAACCAAGCTCCCTCACCACTCATGCTTACCACATCTGTCTTCAGCACTTAGTAAATTAGTACTGTAGTGTATTTACCATCACTTAATAAATACTTTTGTTGTATATTTATCAACACTTAATATAAAATATTGTAGTGTATTATGTAACTGCATATTCCCTGATTTATTCATTAATCAGTTATCTAGGTGTACAAGTAGCCAAAATGAGCCATTATGTAACACTCGGAGGTAATAAATAACATTGTTAGGAAGATGACTCCTTATCAAATACTATACAGCATAGTATGTTATAGTGACCCTGTTGTAAGCTGGTTTGCTGAAAACTTTCACACAAATGCATCCTGAGTGAAAACCTTATGATGAAGCTTATTTTTTTTCCTATTACATGTATTGAAGGTATATTAATTATGAGGAATAATACATCATAAGAGGCTGATCACATGAGACTTATAATACTGAATAAAAAAATAAAGCTGATGAATGTGGCAATGCCCAATCAGCCCCCCCCCCCACCCTGCTAACACATGCAGTGTCTTAGCTCTCGTTAGGTCAACAGCAAATCCGATCTGACCATTGTACAGTATTCAGTGAGCAAGAGTTGCTCTTTTTATAAGATTTTTCATTTATTTTTACCCATTTCTTAAAATATGTACAGTACTGCACTACAATATAACAGTTTATACTCAAGTATACTTATAATATATGTCCTAAACTACCACTGGAAGCAATAAGATTTAAGAATTATTTGAAAATCATGTTAACACATACCTCTTCTGGAGTCATGTCCTTGAGCTTGATATCGTGTGAGCGGGAGACTGAGGCTGATCGGTGATATTCTACCAGTTCATTTAAGGAGTTGAATTTAACAACCCATAGGAAAAACTTGCCTTGTGCATCCCGTAGAACTTTAAAGTGTTGTACACCATCACCACATCTAGAGAGAGAGAGGAAAAAAAAGTATGTACAGTAAACTGTATAATTAAAATAAATTAAAAGCAAAAGCACAATTCATAGCACTAAAAATACAGTTAAGAGAATTATGAAAGAAGTGAATAAAGCCACACCAATCCCAAGCAAAATGAGAGCAAGATATATAATAACAAATTCTTCCATTTTGGGGTAAGTTGTACTCCAATAATTATTACACGGTGGAGCATCATTATTTCACTATCTGATACAGTACTTGGCTTTCTTTATTTTGACCCATCATAAATTACCCCCAAAAATAAAAGTTCTACTATGTAGTGTAAGCCCAGAAAAGTTAGATACAGCATGCCCTTAAAATTCGCGGGGGTTTGGGTCTCAAAATGGCCACGAATTGCCAAATCCGTGAATATCATTTGCTGACTGGTGTGTGTGTGTGAATATGTTACATTTTCCTCGTGTGCAAAGAAATGTATACAGTGGTCCTTCGGTTAACGAACACAATTCGTTCCATAGAGTCGTTCGTTAACCGAAAATTTTGTTAACCAAATCCATTGTTTCAATGGGATATTGGGTAATTGGTTCCAGCTCACAGAAAAGTACATACAAAGTAAAAAAAAAATGCAGTAAAGTACACTTACTTTGAGGTGTGTAAGTAGAAGGTTCCTGGTTGATGACTATGATGGGGATTAGAAGTGGGGGGTGAAGGAGAAGGGAGAAGAGAAGGAAGTGGGGATGAAGGAGAAATCACCTTTTAGGGGACCCATGCTTGATGCAGTAATTTCACCAATAAAATTTTAAGTTCACTAGGTGTAATTCAAGATTATTTTATTTAAATCAACACTGCACTGCACTGCACTATATATTATCAATATGTTAACTAAATTTCTGAATGACCAATAATTTTAATGTAAAAAGGAAAAAATATTCAATACACCAACAAAAATCGATGTTCAACCCACTGTCAACAAAGCCAAACTGATGCTTGGTGGTTGAGTCAAGTGGCTGATGGGCAAACAAAAAACTAGTTCCCTGTACTGCATATGTAAACTAAATTTTAAAATGACTAATAATTTTAATATAAAAAATGCAAAAATATTAATGAGCACAACTTTCGTGATATTTACTCCACTGGAAATAAATGTAAACATATAACCGATTACTGAATTGGCAGACTAGCCAATCAGCTGATGCTCACAACAAAACGTGTTTGTTGTAAGGATTTCGTTAATGGAAGTTTTGTTCGTTAACCAAATTGAAGATCCTTATGGGAGCTAATTCGTTAACCGAAATTTCGTTAATCGAACCGTTCGTTAACCGAGGGACCACTGTACTGTACATATTTTTCATCTTATTTTTCAGTAGATAAAGTAACTTTCTTCATTTATTTTTACTCATTTACATGCACACACCATCCTTAATACATATTGTGAAAAAGGTAAAAATTAGTCCGTGACGACTCAAACGACGTTGTACCGAGTTACCGGGACGTTAAACGAATTTTTGGTCTATAAAGTTTAGCAACGTAGTACTGAAACAACGTTAAGCGGGCTGACGTTAAGCGAGGACTTACTGTACAGGTAAACCTTTATTTGCGATGGGATTAGGTTCCTGGAAATCCACTCGCAAATCAGGTTCATTATAACATGGGGTTCAATGGGACAGGTTCCTGACCAGTCGGACACCCATATGTATCACTGAAGAGGAAAAAAGAAATAAATAAATCCTAGAATACTACTAACACCACAAAGCAATTAAACAACACTCACCACATCATTAAGAAGAAGTCTAGTTGTTATCACACGTCCCCTTCAAGGCTAAGAGGACTCTTAAGGTGGAGTAGACATTTTTCTGACTCCCACACAGGCTTTGGGGAGCCTGAAGAGTGAGGACCTTTGTTCTGGCTTTAAACATGGTGAACAAAATGCTTACCAGACATTTTCAAAGTTACACTGCTCTCTTCACAGTCACAAAAACCTGATAATAATGATGAGGGCTCAATTCTTTTATGAAAAAAATTAAGAAAAACAGCAATGGAGGTGTGGTAGGGGATTAGTGGGTGTCATGTTACTGACCTGACCTGATCAATGTCAGGTAGAAGTAGGGTGGTCTCAAGCAATGTCAGGTCACCCAGTGTCAGGGCAGGGATTAGTGGGTCTCATGACCTGACGATGTCTTGCATAAAGACAAAAGCTAAGTAGTAAATATATTTATGGCTAGCATAAATTTGGTACCATTGCATATACGGAGATGTGTTCCACACCGCGATACCGACGCATATAGGGACTGAAAAATCGTTGGTAAGTGAATCAACAGTTATCGAAGCAACTGATCCCATAAGAATATAACAAATTCAGGGGTTAGGGTCCGGCCACCCCCAAAAACCTCCCATCTACCTTTGATATATATCTGTCGTGCACAGTGCCAAGCAAGAAAATAAAGCAAGCATAATAAGCATTAAATAAGGAATGTAAAGCATAAATTGAGACTAAATTTACCCGTGCTAAGGATGGTAGACATGGTCTAGGGTGGCAAGTTTAAGTCTCTACCAATCTTTACTGGTCCATTACCACTCTTATTATGCCTTACCACATCACATCAAGAAGAACAAGAGGAACTATCACTAGGGCGTTTAGGCATGACTGCATAACACACGAAGTTGGAAAAAAAAAAGGCAGACACAGGTGGTAAGTGTAAGGAAGTGCAGAGGTGGGAATGAGTCAAAGGCAGTGCACAGAGCCCTCTTGTGGCAAGAATTTGCACCACGCCACCACCCGCTAAATTAAAAACAGTCTGCCGCTCCTCTCCTGATTGTCGGATCTCCGGGATATCAAAGAAATTTGCAGGGTATTTCCTTTATATGTTTGAATGCAAATCAGCGGGAAATGGGACGTCGGTTTTCGGGGTATACCTGTATTGTATTGTATTGTATATGAAGGGTACAGATATTAATAAGCACAGATTATTACAGTAACATATCTTTACAAATTAATGAATCAGAAATAAACAATATTGTATCATGAATGAGTTATAGTAGAATGACTAAAAGAGGTAGGGGACAGAAGTGTGAAGGAGGAGGAGGGTCTGCGGTCACTTTCTACCAGGTCCCTTCCTTTGCCTCACTCCACTTCCTCCTATATACGCTAGTATCTGCTAATTATGATAGGGAGATGAATTTGATAACATAAAGAATCTGAATAAATTCTCTACCAGATTTTTCCAATAAAAAAACCTTAAACAAAATATTTCATCAGATTTAATGATGGGGGACTCGATTCTCTTATGAAAAAACGTAACGTTGATACTGGAGTCTATAAAATAATTTCTAATTAAGTTAGAAACACCATTTGGTTTTTACTAAAATAATCCTGAACCATTTATTTAACCATTTCACCGCATTTTACGCACTTGCCATTTTATTCTGGCTACCGCCAGATGATTTTATTCAGCTTAGGGTAATCTCCTGCTGTGAAAGGGTTAAAAACTCTCTCAATTAACCCTTTCACTGCATTTCATGCACTTGCCATTTTAATCTGGCTACCACCAGACGATTTTATTCAGCTTAAGGTAACCTTCCGCTGTGAAAGGGTTAAAGTTTGGTTAAATAAAGATACAGTGTTGAAAATGCTAAAAAAAAACAAAAACAAAAACATATGGATGTGCCTAAGCGAATGGAGCTCTGTGTGTCACAGTGGAATTTTCCATGGTTTTCCCAAGTCTAAGCGATCATCTTGCACGGACAGACACAAGCTTTTTTTTTCACAAACACTACTGTACACGTACAATATACAGGTATTATAGAGAAACAGAATTTTTTATATTACTCCTGTCATTTTGAGCCTACAGTAGGAGTATACAGTCCTGTCCAATCTCCTGAATGTAATATGTAACTGTAATAAATTTTTATGCCTTTTAACACTTGTGATGGAGGTGTGGTAGGGAATTAGTGGGTTTCATGTAAGTGACCTAACCTGATGCAATGTCAGGTCCATCTATCGTATATAAACTCTTCTCTCAATTGTGGTGGAGGTGGGATGGAGGGATTAGTGGTCTCATATTACTGACCTGAGTTCTGATGCAATGTCAGGTCACCCATTGTCGCAGTGAGGGATCAGAACGAATGCACTTCATAGTCAGAGTGAAAGAACTTCACAGTTACTAACATCGAGTACAATGTGAACTTTTGTGATGTCCTCTCAATGTAAAAAACAAAACAAAAACATGATGACCAAAAAACATTGAGCTCCATTTCTTACACACACATGTAACCAAGAAACATTGGCTGGACTGAAGTTTACCAGGTGGCCACAAGGCAGTGTTTGGGTAGATGACACCTCAGCTGACAAATTAAGTGAGTGATGCGTTCCACATGCCGACTTGGCAGGATGACGAATATCGTTAATGAGAGCTTGTTTACATCGCAAATAGGGAAGTGGTCTTAATATATCAGCAAGTAACACAAATTATCGTAGATTGGGATATCATAAATAGAGGGTTACCTGTAATGTACTATCATGAACATGTGTCCAAGTAAAGCATTTAATAAACCATTGAACTTGTGTCAGTTTTGTTACATTATTCCAACAAATACCTGTACAGCGGGAAAAGGCTTGCAAGCTAGCCACCATCTGCTTACTGCAAATTGTCAAAATCGTGAATGGCAAGGGTCTACCGTATAAGTAAATATTTACTTTACCGTGACCACTCAGATAAAAAGTTATTTAAGGTCTATTAATATGACTGATTAAGTGGAAACTTACGGGCTTTTAAGGAACATTCTTGTGTATTTAGTAGGCAAATTATCATAAATTAATGATATTCCAGAGCTTTATGTGTGCATGGCAAATTCTCAGGAACTCATATAGGAGTATTTGTTGTGTAAGAAGAATTGTGTAGAAATAATAAGCACCTGCAAGTGTTTTGTTTGTAAATCTTAAAGTATAGTTCAAATACGGTGATAATTTGCATTCAGTTTAAGTTTTGTTTAATATTGAAATGCAAAGCTTCATT